GCCGAAAATAAGTGAAATTATATTATACTATGTATACTAATTTCAGTTATTATTTCAGTTTATTACCTATAATGTAACTTAATAAAATACAAAATTTGTGTGTAATTCATTAACGTTCGTCGAATAATGAATGTCTAATTTCGCAACATTTTTATACTCTTACAACATGTTGCTGCTGATTGTAATAGTTTTGTTCACCTAAAGGTTTTTTTTATTACCTCAAAACAATCGAGTTAGATATAGGATTATACCACATAGAGCTTGGCTTAAAAGCTTTTGCGCTCGAAATGAAAAAATACGGTCAATGATGATCCAATAATTATATGCCATCCCTATTATGCCTATGTAATGACTTTCCAAAAGCTCTGCAAAATACCCGTCTACGGCTGTAATAGCTTCTTCATTCAACGAAAAACACTTTCCACGAAGGACTTGTTTCAGGTTTCTGAAGAGGTAATAGTCGCTGGGAGCCGAATCTGGTGAATACGGTGGATGCTCAAGAAATTCGTATTTCAATCCCTTGAACTTTGTCATTGTTAAAAAACATTTGTGAGCAGGTGCAATGTCTTGATGAAAAATGATTTTGTACTGCAAACTAGGTCTTTTCTCACGAATTTTTTTTCCAAATTGATCCAAAAATTCTGAAATAATATTCAGAGATGCAGATAATCAATCAACAAAATTCCTTTTGCATTCCAAAAAACTGATGCCATGACCTTCTACGCTGATCGTTGGGACTTGGAGCTAAACAACCAACTTCATTCCACTGTAAACGTTCTTGTTTCAATGTAGGATCATGGTGGTAAATCCAAGTCTCATCCATATTTATAAAACGACGCATGAATTAGGTTTTATTCTGCTTAAAACGCTCCAAATTATGCTAAGAAGTTTGCTTTCGATCCAGTTTTTGTTGAATTCTTAACGTGTGCGTAAATTTACTTGACGGATTTGACAGAACTGCAAAGCTCAACATTAATATGAGCCTTGTACGTTTTGGAGAGTAGTGGTGAGTATGGTACCACCCATTGATTGTCAATTTCTAATTGGCTAGAATTTGACGTTCTCATATAATGGATAACCATCAATATCAGTAATGGTATCGTTTGTGAATTTCTTATTAACATTTTTCTTACATTTTCCATTTTCCATGCATGGTGATGTCAAGTTAAAAGCTCCACACGGTCCATGAATCATATGATTTGTAGCAATATTAAATAATTCTTGATCAATTGAAGAATCTGGAATTTCAATTTTATGAACTTTATCTTCAAGCCAAACTAAAATGTGAGCATGAGGTAAGCCTCGTTTCGGCCACTCAATTAAATACAGTCAACAACACGTTTTGCCAAAAACTGAATATTTTACAATAAAATCAATCAAAGATAGCAACTTTTGTTTAAACACTCGTGCAGTAATATCGTGACGATGTATTGATTGTTGACCTGGTAATAGTAAAGACAGGATTTCCTCCCTGTTTCCTCCCAATTTGGATTACACGTAAATGTTATAAACAAATCTGGACGACCGTAATGACGTACATAAATCATTGCATCCTGTATGTATTCTTGCATGTTTCGTGGGCTACCTATACAGCTGGAAGGTAAGATAACAGCACGGACGATTTCATTGGTGTTTAAACTTCCATGGACGTTTCTAACAATAGCATCTCGTAAGTAAATGTAATCCTCTGATCGTAGTTTAGCTTGGTTTAACCGAATGAATCGCAAACGTTCGCTTTCAATCTTAGCAAACATATCCACAACGTAGTGATGATACAATAGACGATATCGAGGGACATAGTTGTGCTGATCATGTCTAATCATTATGCGATACGCATAATAGTTCATTGAACTAATTTTTTTATTTAATTTATTACCATTGACTGGATCACACTGTTTAATGTTGATATGATATCCACCTTGTCCATGCGAGAATATCAGTGTGTACTGGAGTACATCGTACGAACGATGTAAATCTGAAATTATACTCACTGAATTATCTCGGGGGTAATTTTTATGGATCTGTTGTCAACTGGATCACCGACCATAATAGCAACTTCATCAAGGGTTGGTGCATTGAATCTACCGGCGTGTTCTCCCAAAGGTACTTGGTCCGCTTTGATGACAATTTGATAATTGTCACTTTGTAATTATGGTGACACTCTTTTAAACAATTGAACTAATTGATTACTGTTCTCCAAAAATAATTCTAATGACAATACAATTGCTCTCTCTTCTGCTTGTTTAATGAAACTATACTGGCATCGAGTTGTTACACGTTCTTCACAATTGCTAATAAAATAGATCTGAAGAAATTGTGGTTCTTCATTTAGCATTGGCATCAATGAACCAATCTTTTGGTATACCTGGCCTTGAATTATGAATGTTGCCTCTAAATTACGACCATCAGAACACAAATCACAACCTTTGGATGCTCCAAGCGACGTCATTTGGAAGCAAGAATTAACTTTTCGTGTCTTTCGCAAAAATAATTTTGATTCATTTGAAATGCCAGAAAGAAGGGATTTCATAGGTTCAGGTGGAGTAGGGAGTGGTGACAATACAACTTTTCCTGATGCGCAACACATGCCAGGTCTTTCATTGCGAAATTTTTACGCCTGACAATAATTGCATATTTTGTCCATCGCACCAATAGTAACTTTTGAATCAACCGAGTAATTGATGTCTGGTTCATAATTAAATGCAAGACGAACAAATGATCCGCGTGTTACAGCACGGTTGGTCCGATGGTTTTCTAGGTTTTGTTCTCTAAATGAATCTATGTGTTGTTGACGTGCCACCCTGATTCTCAATGCATTTTCTTGTCGACGATTATCACGCTGTGCTCGTGATTCTCGGGCACGAATTTCAGCTGTGCAAAATTTTTTGAGCTGCATTTCTGCTCTCTGTTCGATTTATTTATGAGCTCTTTCAACACGTGTACATCGAGTCTTTTTGCTACGGGTATTAAGGTTAGATTTTTTGAGTGGCATTTTTCTAAAAATAGTAATTGAAGTTTGCTCTGTGAAGAATTTCGTTTTAGGCGCCTTCTGTTCCAAACTTATGGAACCGACGATTAATAACAATAATCAACGTTGATTATCAGTTTATTATAAAATATTGGGCGCATTAATTAAAGTAATTAATATCCTATTATTTAAGTTGCACCAAGCACATGGATATGCCAACTTTCATATATGTAAGTTGACTCGTTTTTGAGTTCATTCGGAACATTCACACAGATACTGAAGTTTTATATATAATAAGATTTTTTATAATATACAGTATATTTGGATGTATTTACAATCCTGTAAATTAGAATAAAAACAAAAATATTCGAAGTTACATACGCAACGAAGACAACATGAAGAATGATTTGAAAGAAACGACTTTATGTGGCATAGGCAAAATAAAACATGTATAGAGCAGAGAATGTAGATTATGAGAAGGTTCACAGTGCGGCCATTAGCAAAATATTTCACTTTTCGCAGGGGAACTGAAAACGATGAGCGTGTTTCACCATTTGGGGAGAGGTACTGAAAACGATGACGTGTTTCACCAAATGACCACAATTAACATCAGGGGACTGAAAAATAGCAAATTGAGCATTTTCAATGTTAATTGAGAAAAGTAATGCTAATTTCAATGTTAAGAAATGTACGCTTACAGATTCGTATATTTACAATGCGCAAACGACTTTGCATATAATTTGAAGATATTCTGCCTATACAGAAGCCTAACGAATCGTGCTACAAAAATAAAGCGTAATAAGTTTATTTTAGTCAACGCATACATTAATTTTTTTATTGCATAGAAATTTTATTTTATTTAAACAATTAATTTTTCCTCCATGCTCAACCACGCATATGCGACACTAATTCGAGATTGCCTCAATTATCTATTGAATGGACTGCTTCAGTTCAGTCAGATTTCTGGGTTTGATTTTGTTCGTCTCTTGCTTAACA